CAGTAGTGTCTACAAGAGGACACCTGGAAGATTTCATCAGCAAAACCTTGTTAGATGCTATTTCTTTCCTCCCATACAGGGAAAGAATTAAAAATGTAACACTTATCTCTCTTCTGGTCTTAGCCGGTTATTAATGTCATATAAATTTAGGTGGAAAGTAAGTTAGAAACATGGAACCAAAACATAAACGCTGGTTAAAGTAACTGAGAATTGAATCTAGCTCAATATCCTATTTATGTATTTATTGTGCACACAAGGAATCCGAACTCAAGGTTTATGCAATCCCATTATTATAACAGTGTTACCCTTGGTTTATATTTACTGTTGATTCCAGTGTTTAGTGGCCATGGCCAGCTTATGGATAAAGAATAACGCAGCTAACAATATCCACGCCCCCTCGGTGCACTCCCTGTCTGGGTCCGGACTGCACTGCATCTCGGCGTTCCTTCTAGTGTCTACGGTGGCTGCGTAAAGTAAGCAAGATGACACCTGCGATGCACCCAGCAGAGTGCCTGGCACACAGTAAGAGCTAAATAAATTCTTCCTATTTGGGTTTGTTGTTTTGATTATAATATGAGCACTATTATAGAATGTTAGACACAGGAAGTGCTTAATATCTCTTTGTTTTTATTGCAAAATACGATGAAATAAAATCACAATCTATTTCCTTAAAACTCGTTTATATTTGAGAGGACATTCAAAAATGACAGATTTTATGTGCTTAAATCACCATAAAATGAATAAAGATGAAATAATTCCAATTAGTTAAAAATTACTCAGAAAAGATCTTCAAGCATATCAAAAGTCAGTAGACCTGGGATTTGTGATTTATAAAGATAATCTTTCTAATGACAATATAAAATCTTGTAAAACACAAAGTTAAGTTCGTTTTCCTTTGGTAAAAATCAAACGTAAAAACTACACTGACCACTGTAGTTTGGGAATTGGTGCCCATAGCGGTGGGCACATCCCACATTCTAAAAGCAGGATGTTCCTTCCTTAGATCTTCCAGGGAGAAAGAATAACAAAACATGGGGAAAAAAATTAATGAACCACAGTCTGTCTCCTCTGATGATTCCGCCGATGTTCCGACTTCTTTCTTTGTATCCTACAAGCTCTTCAGCACCTCCACCCCTGCTCCTTTCCTGTTGTATAATTAGAATATAATTATCTGCTCTCTCACACTGGAAAGACTATTCTTTTATTAATGACTCTTTGAAAAGTTCTTTATTATTTATCTTTGAAAGTGAGTTTGGAATTAAAAGGCTTATATGACTTTTCCTTTCTTTCTTTTTAACTTAGGAGGTCTTGAAACTAATACAAGAGATATGTCATAGGTCGTCATTCCGTTTTCCACCTTCAGAATGAGAAAAAGGGTTTGGGAAACAAATGTGGCATCCTCCATTCTCTCCAGATTAAACGCTGGGGCTCGGGGCTTTGAAGGACATCCAGGCAAAAAAATACTGATGCTCCAAAAGTGGGTCTTTCCTTGCCTTTCCCCCTTGTTAGAGAGTAGAAAATGGGTCGGAACAGAAAAGCTTCCTGAATCTGACAAAGGAGAGGCGGACAGTATAATTCACATTTGTAGAAAGTACAATGTAGGTTTCAAATTAGTCTCAAGTAGGGAGCTTTTAAGCCCCTCATTTGCAGTCAATTCTGGAAGGTGCCCCTCGTCTCTGCTGAGGCCACGCGAGCCTTATTGATGGCTGTGGCTGGCTGTGTTTTTTTCTAACATTAGGCTTATCCAAGCACTCCAGATTGGATACGGGCAATTATAAGGGAGGGTGCACATTACTGCAAATTTTTATCATTTCTCAAAGCATTTTTCTTGCAGTGGTAATCCTGTAAAACCGACATATCTTGCATAAGAAAAACAAATAGCTGTTGGCTGAGAGCAGCTCTTGAGTTACAACATGACCTATTCCTGGGTAATTTCTGGATTATCCATTAGGGGCTGGGACCTGCCAAATTAGGGTTCAAATGACTTCTTGGCTTATTGTGGCCACACCACCTTATTCAAGGCAGGCGTATGGACAAAAACAATGATTAGAATAATGACTCCAGTTCTTCTGAATAATCCTGCTGCTATTCACGCACAGTGGAAACTACCTCTGCCTGACGTTTCCACTGCAGAGGAAGAAATACTGTACCCAGAGCTATTTCAAGAATTGTTCTTATCTTCTACACTTTCTGTTCCATTTCAGTGGGGATGGAAGAGCAAGAATAACCTAATGATCTCAAAACTTTGCTTCTTGTGCGGCATCAGGGAACTTGCCCAATTTTTTTTTTTTTTTTTTTTTTTTGGTGATCCAAATATAATTACACATCTTTGCCTAGCCCTTTGGAATGCCGTGATGTTCCTTTAGTTGAAAATGTCTAAATAGCTCCATTTTTGTGAGTAATACTTTTTCTTGTGAAACTTAAAAAAAAGGATAATAATTTACTCTGATTATACTCAAGAAGCTTCTTCTTTTAAGCCTTCTTCTCTTCTATTACACATGATGACTTTTCCTTTTTTAAGTAGGAATCATAGACTCCTAGAATTGGAAGAGATCTTAAAAGTAATTTAATCCAAGCACCTACTATTGCATGAATCCTCTCCACAGTGTCTCAAATGAGGTCCTCCATTACCAGCTCTTCTTTAAGGCAAAAGAGACAAAATAAAAATAGAAAGTCCTACGACTCTGGGTGGAACAATACCTGATAACTAAAACAAATTACAGGGTGTAGATGTGGTTCTCTCTCCTCATGAGTCTTCATTTTCTTTTACTATATCAAGAAGAATTTGTGAAATAGCGACTCAATTTTCAGTTTGTGGCATTGTGAACACAGCCAACAGAGAGGGAAACAGCACTTCTTAAAAAGAAATGTTTTCTCAGAGAATTTAGATCGCATAGTCTTGACCTTTTCATTTCAATGATCCAGAAAGTCAAAGATATTTTTAAAGGTCAACCTTACATGAAAGGAACTATAGGAAATTTTTATCACTGTTACTTAAGAACAAGTTAAATTATCTAGCATGAAATATAGGCTAAGAGATTAGGTTTTGGAATGGGACTCTGTGTTTTGAACCCTGGCTTCCAATTATTTAGCTGTATGTCTTCGTGAAGTCACTTAACTTGGTTTTGGTTTACTCATATATAAAAAGGAGATAATAATATTATCTTCTTCACTGGGCAAGTAAGAGGATTAGAGGAACTAATTTCCGTAAAGCACTCTGCTCCGTATATGGCATGTGTTTTAAGGGTATAATAAATGTTAGCTCTTCTTTGCTCACTAAAGTGGTAAAAACAAAATTTGGTTGTAGAGAGCTTACACGTTTTTTCATGTTTCAGAATGTCAAACTTTTGAGATGAAAAATGATAGTGCTGAAGAAAAATATTGTCGTGGCATAAACAGCTTTCCAAGAAATTTTATATTGTCAGAATTAATATGGATTGTGCTATGTGTTAATTCCTAAATAAAATAATTACTCTAAATAACTAAATATGGACTCACTATATTTTGGAAAAGTATGGAAGCATTCAGCTAACAAGTTAGAGTCAAGAATAATTTGACAAGGGCGGGGGAAGGATGGGTGGAGGGAGGGTGATTGGTGAGATCACGTCTATGGTTTAACCTATGGAGGTACATGTGAGTCTTTCTAAATGTAGAATATAAATGTCTTAACATAATAACTAAGAAAATGACAGGAAGGCTATGTTAACCAGTTGGATGAAAGTATTTCAAATTGTATATAGAAGCAACCCACTGTACCCCATGATAGTATTAATGTACACAGCTATGATTTAATAAAAAAAACAATAATTTGACAAAGTAGGTTTTATTTATGCTATTTGAAACTTAATCACTTTTGTGTACTTCTGATTAGTTAATGCATTTGAGACTTGGCAAACTGAATTATACATCTAGATAAGATTATAAAATAATCCTTGGACTATATCCAGACAAGTTTAAAAAACTGGTATGTTAAATAATATCAAAATTAACCAATCTCTAGTTTAATGTTATTTTTTTATAAAATATCTCCTATATCATTTTTCTGTTGTATTCCTCAATTATCCAACTCTAATTGATAGTCTTCTTTCCCTCAAATCAAAAAAAAAGCCAAGACAAAACCTTTATTTACTAATTCAACAAAGAAAACAATTCAAATCCTGCTAGTCCAGAATATCCATGTAGCTAATTAAGAGATCAAAGAACAGGCTTGGCACATGTGGCTCAAGTGGCTAAGGCATCAGCCACATACACCTGATCTGGTGGGTTCAAATACAGCCAGGGCCCGCCAAACAACAATGACAACTACAACCAAAAAATAGGCAGGTGTTGTGGCAGATGCCTGTGGTCCCAGCTACTTGGGAGGCTGAGGCAAGAGACTCGCTTGAGCCCAGGAGTTGGAGGTTGCTATGAGCTGTGATGCCACAGCACTCTACCCAGGGGGACAGCTTGAGGCTCTGTCTCAAAAAAAAGGAAAGAAAGAAAGAAATCAAAGAACACAGTGATTTTCATTTCTTTCCCATCACCCAGAGGTCAATCATTTAAAAAATGAAATACCTCATCGCCGTTAAGAGAATTCTTTTTGTATTGATCCTGAGATTCTGAAATTCTCCTCAGTAACCCATTACAATGATTGCAAACTATTACGTATTTAATGATCCAGGAATCAGAGGAATAAAAACAATTACTTTCATAAAACTGAAAAAAAATAGTTGGAAAATTTCAATAAGAGCAATATATAAAATACATTTATCCCAGAATTAATTCAGATTTTTGTGCATCAGAGGAATAAGGTTCTGAGGTCACTGCCCTTGAATTTAAAACGCATCCTTGGGGAAGGAAAGTTCATATTCCTTGCAGTATTTGTTTTTTTTATCAGATAAGTAACACTGACATTTTTGTGCATGTCAAATCTTTGGTAATGACCCACATCTTACAGATGCCCTCATTCTCTATTAGTCTGGGGACATCTTGGTTTTCCAGGCTGGCCGTCACTCACTTACCCTAGTTGTTTTCACTTTATTCCCAGAAGAACAGCTCCATCCTTTCCGATCCGGAAGAACTTTACACTCCTCCCCCTCTAGACACGGCTGCATGTGGCACCACCATTTCTGCTCCACTATGGAAGCTGTGAGAGAGAATGATCAGCTCAGTGCTTTCTGTCTGGGATTACTGGTCCTCCACGTGCACAATTAAAGAACAAAAGCCGCTGATTTGTCCTATCACTTGAAAGACTGGAATTTAAGGTTTCATTCTCTTTTTGTTCAAAAAGACCAAACCTTTCAAGACCTTCTAACTAAAAGAATCTTTGACTGGGTGTAGTGGCTCAGGCCTGCAATCCCAGCACTCTGGCGGGTGGAGGCAGGAAGATCCCTTGAGCTTAGGAGTTTAAGACCATCCTGAGCAAGAGCAAGATCCCTTCTCTATTAAAAATAGAAAAAATTAGCCAGGCATTGTGACAGACACCTATAGTCCCAGCTATTCAGGAGGCTGAGGCAGGAGGATTGCTTGACCCCAGGAGTCTGAGGTTGCTGTGACCTTGGCTGATGCCATGATACTCTTCCCTGGGTGACAGAGTGAAAGTCTACCTTGAAAAAACAAAAATAAAAACAAAAACCTTTTTATTTTATCTTATTGTGGTGAGAACACTTAAAATGAATTCTACCTTCCTAACGAATCTATAAGTGTGCAATCCAGTATTGTTACCTATAGTCACCAACTGAAGGGTTTTTCAGATGAAAATACAGGCTTCATGAAAAGTAAAACATTAAAACGAAACTATGCGCCAGCTTATAGACACACAGGAGAAATGGGCCTGTTCCCAGCGTAGAGTCAATATGTTAAAATCAATGTACCATTTCCCATCAGTAGGCTGAAAATCAGCAGGGTGTTTGTTAGAGTTGCCACATTATTTATTTACTGTGAGCCATGACTTCATCACGAGAAATAGACTGTCTAATAGGAGCACTTAACAAAGACTGTTCATGACAGCAGCAGTTAGATGCACCTGTTCTAAGATTTATATTCTATTATAATTAGGGGCACCCTCAAAGAAAGAAATAGATATTTTGATGCATCTTCATAAAAATAGATATTTTATGTGAATTCCATCCACAACTAAATGTTCACTGAATATTTATATGGCATTGATTTTTTTCATTCTTAAGAACGTCCATTGGTTCAGGATCCTATACTATTAAATCATCCATTTTCATCTTTCCTTCCCCAATTAATTTATACGCACTGCTCCCCCCACCATCCACCAGGAAATCAATACTCTGTGGCATCAAAACAAGCACATTACTTAACGGGACCTCATTATTATGCCTGTTACAGCACAACTGCACACGATTTTAAATTTCGAAACGCCCTCCAAATACCCTCGTGTCAACCATGGGATGACAGTGTGGTCCCCCAGGTGGAATCCAGTTGGTGGCATTCTAGTGAGGTTCTGGGGTACGTGGTCCCCAGCTGAGCTACCATGGAGAGCAAGGGAGTCGCACCATCCACGCAGGACGGAGCAGCCCGTGTGGTGCCGGCCACCTGCCCGGGGAAGCAGGAACACTTGACCGTCTGCGACCGTTCTTCTATCTTGTTCTTGTTACAGCATCTGTGAAGTGCCACCACCTCGCAAGTTCCCGTTTTAACATGGTGAGCTGCAGGGACAAAAATAAGAGGTCACATTGAGAAAGCTTTGACACTCCCACCCTTTTAAAGTAGAAGTATATTAAATATGGCTCCAAAGGGGCCCTCCGTGCATGAAACCAGAGATGCAATGATGCTAATTCCAGAATGCAGATTTGATTTCTTTTCTAAATGTGGTAGGAACTTTTCTGCCAGCAAATGCTCGGTGAAGCAGAAACAATAGTGCCTAGATTAAAGTAGACTGTTAAAACAGCCTGACATAGAGGTAATGTGTAAGGCCATCAAAAACCTATTTACTTGCATGTGAATTTGTTCATACCTTTTTGCTCACTGCATTAAAGTAAAACACACACACACACACACACACACACCCTGATACAGTGTCCTGCTGTGGGGCTGAGACCGGCCTCATTCTGTAAGCTGCTGGGTGCTGAGAAAGTTTATGTTCTTCTGGGGGAGAAGGTGAGGGCCAGGCAGGGAAACCCCTCTCAGGAATGGGAGGGAGAAGGTGGATATCTACTTGTTCAGCATTTTCTGCCCAGTTTCCCCAGAAATGAACTAACCGAGCAATTCTGGAAATTGCCATCACTTTCCTGGAAGTTCTAGCCAGGCCTAGAACCCAAAATCATCCCTTCAATTGCCTGAGAGGACAGCTGTCACCAAGCAGCATCATGAGCTTGGATGAATCTATATCTGGTAACCAGTTGCCTGGAAACCCTGTCCAATTAGCTGTCAGGCTCTCACACCCACTTTGTCAACCTCTAAGTAAGGTTACTGAGCTTTGGGGGATTGACGCAAATTTTGGACCTCATTTATCACATTATGATAGAGGTTTGATCTTTTTTACTTAGCACTTCTTCATCAAATGAGTCATAAAACAAGTTTTATCAGCTAAAATTAAAATCACACATTTGTTGAAACTTTATGCTATCTGAAATTTAAAACTTTTGATTGATACGAAACCACACATTTAAGTAGAAAACTAGGAAATCTGAAGTTGTTTAATGGTGTAAACATACTGAGACCTATTGCAAATAAGGTCAACAGATCACACATTTATATTAATCCTTCTCTTTGGAGATGAGAGAAACCAGTGTGCAGTAACTCAGGTTAGAAAGCGTGTTTAGATTTTTCTAAGCAAATCACATATATTGACCACCTCTTATCCCTCCACGTGAGACCAAGAAACTCAGGGATAACATACAGCGCGGATTCCGCCGAAGAACTTTCAAGAGGCTGATACCATTTTCAAGGTCATAAAGATTTTTCTGCCACTGTCGACACAAATGGGCATGTTTACCGTGTTTGATGAGAATTTAAATCTAACTCTGTGAAAGCTAAAACCTTAAAAGCCAGATTTCTGTTCCCATCCACTTGTGCTCTGGAAAATACTATCTTTGCTGAGGATGAGCCCATTTTCTTTAATCTGCTGGATGCTTGATACTGTAGTGGACGAGCTAATTTCTGCTCTGCAGGCTCTACTTCACTTACTCCCATTTCAACCAAATACCACACGTTAGGGACAGTTCTGGGCCCTGGAAATGCAACAATGAATATAAAGAACACGTCAGCTCCTGACCTTGAAGAGCTCATATAATAAAGCAAATAATAAGCAACCAAGTCAATGGGTAGGGTAACGCTAGGTTTTTAAACTCTTAGAAGAACGTACAGCAGGATGGCACGAGTGAGGGGGACTGAGCAGAGATGGAAGGTGTAATTTCTAAGAGTCTCAAGGAAGATGACTCTGAGGGGACAGCCTGAATGGGGACCTGGCAGATGAGAAGGAAGCGTCCAGTATGAGGGTCTAGGAAAGGAAGAGCATTCCGAACAGATGGAGCAGCAGACGAGGCCCTGGGACAGGACAGAGGTGTATCCCTGGGCAGCGACGGGAGGTGGCCGGACAGCTGAGAGAGAGGTCGGGGGAAATGGGTCAGAGATGTAAGTGGATGAGGTAGGGGAAGGACAGAGGGTCACATTCTCCCCGCAGGGCACAGCCTTGGTGTGGAAAGGGTGCTGTCTCATCTGTGATTTAGACGTTTCCTCAGGCTGCTCTTCAGAGACTGGATTGAAAAGGTAAAAATGGAGCCTGGTTATGAAGAGGCTGGAGGAGTCTGGGTTACAAAGGATGAGATTAGACTAGAGAAGAGCAGCAGAGAAGGGGTTTGCCTTGCCCATGGATTGAACGTGGGCTGTGAGGGAAGGAGGAATCGAGGATGACTCTTGGGATCAGACTGAGGGATTGGAAGTGGGTGGTGCTACAAAGGGCCTGGGGGAAAGGGATTTGGCAAAGGTGGGCGAGGACAGGATGTCTGTCCTTCTGTTTGGGCTTATTAAGTCTGAGATCCTTACAAGACCCCCAAGGAGAGATGGAAACCAGGCAGTAACGTTTGTGAAATGAAACCTCAGAACGAGATCCCGGCTGCAGAATCAGACTTTAATGACCTGGCCCGGCAGAGGGTGTGTGGTGAGCAAGATTTCCATGGCGAGGGTGCCCGCGGAGCAAGAAGGACAAGGGCAGCCTGACGGCGATCACTGTGCCAAATGCCTCGAAAGGTCCAATTAGAAATACAGAAATAATTGTCCATTAAAAAAAGTAACACAGTGTAGTGGTTAAGAGCATGGACTTCAAAATCAGAGTAGCTGGACTCAGATCTAAGCTCTTCTTCATAACTGTCTGACCTCAGACAACTTACCTGATGTCTGTGGGTGACAGGTTTTGTTCATGTCTAAGAGAGCAAGGATAATAGTGTCATCTTGGCTGGGCATGGTTGCCCATTCTGCAATCCTACCACTGTGGGAAGCCGAGGCGGGTGCTTGAGCTCAGGGTTTGAGATCAGCCTGAGCAAGACATACCCTGTCTCTAATTTAAAAAAATGTGGTAATTGCCTATAGTACCAATTACTCAGCAAGCTGAGGCAAGAGGACAGCCTGAGCCCAAGGGTTTGATGTTTCTATGGTCTATGATGAGACCACAGAACTCTAGCCTGGGCAACCAAGTGAAACTCCGTCTTAAAATAATAATAATAATAAAGTGCCAGCTTCACAGGGTAATCAAAGATTACATGGGTTAATGTGCACAGAGTGTTGAGAACACTGCCTGCCTATAGTAAGAACTTCTGTATGTGTTACCTGTGAATCAGCATTTGCTCTTGGTAAAAAATCATGTTAATGGAATGATAAAATAAAAGCATCCTTGCAGTAAGTTTAGCAGAGAATGGCAGGTGAGACTGTATAGTTACGAGCTCTTCTTTCAAGGAGGTTTTCTGTGAAGGAAAGAAGGAAATGGAGCAGTAGCTGAGAGGCGGCGTGGAGTCAGCAGAGTTTTTGAGTGGATGCCCTGAACGCATGCTTACTTGCTGAATGATCTAGCAGAGAGAGAAAATGCCCAGGCAGGAGAGAAATGTATAAATATCCTTCTCTAAGTAGGAAAAAGGACCTGAGATCCAGGGCAGCTGGCGGCTGGCATTAGACTGGCGTGGGGACACAGTCCGTCTGAGGAAGAGTGAAGGTTGAGTGTGTAGGCACAGAGGCAGGGGCCCGAGTGGCTTAGCTGGTGGAAGATGAGGCAGTTTCTTATCTGAGTCCTTCTATTTTTCCTATAGAATATGAGAGATGTTTAAGAGGAAAAATACGGTCTGAAGTAGATACCTCGGAAAGCAAATTCACCAGGAAGGAGCCGTGGGCACGCCTGGTGGGGAGGCAGCTCACACACTGCAAGTCGCAGAGAACACAGTAGAATGGACTGTGGGGTGAAATTACAGGGCAGAGCAGGGATAAATGTCTCCTGATGACAGATTACTTTGGTGCCTGAATGGAAGCCAGGGAGAACTACTGGGGCTTCTTCTGATGGCCACGGTGGCCGGTGGTGGGGAGATCCCTGAGCCCAGACAGCCTTGGGGAGTGTGTGCTGGCAGCTGGGGCTCCGTGCCCTTCCCCGGTTCTCCAGCAGCCAGGAGCACATGGTGAGCCCCCAACCTCTCCCTCTAAGATAAGAAGCATCATTCCACCACCAAGCTGAGTTTACCATCTTTATTATGAGGAAATTTTACTGTATATGGGAAATAAAGAATTAGTAACTCTTCGTTTGTTTTCCCTGGTCCAGTGCAAAATCAAAATCAATTTCTACTTCTCCCGACAAGAGAAATAATGGGACAAAGCAGCAGGGATAGTCCTGAGTGCTGTTCACAAAGCATTTCTGGTTCCCTCCCTTCTGGACAAACGTGGTACTGTGTTAAATTTAGATTGTGGAGAAGCAACTTGCTTTGTTCAATGAAATGACAGCTCAAATAGTAGGAGTCCCCTTAGGAGAAGAAACAGATCACATCAGCTCTGTGTGAAGCTTTAAGCGCTAGGGTGCAATGCATTATGTTTCTCCCTATCTGTGACCATCATGTTCTTGACAGTAGAGGCGACATCAACCTGAATCCCCAGGTGACGTGGAGTACTGTCCCCACCAAGCAGGATGGACATACAGGTGAGAAATGAATCCATGTGGTTATTAACCTCTAGAATTAGGAGGCTGCTTGTCACCGCCACAAACTTAGCCTGCCCTGACCCCACAGCACCTCCTCCCTTGCTCCCCAGATTGTCAATAGAGGGGACATTTCCACAGGTGTCAGTGGAGAAGTCAGCAAGATGCCATCTCTCACAACCTGGATCCTTCTAGCTTATCTGAGCAAATGGAGAATAAAGATGACAAAGAAAATGTTGTGTTTTATGCACACATGTAGTGGAAGGGTTGCAAGAAATTATCCTGCAATGCACCTGGGTAATCACAAATTGCTAAGTCAAAGCTCTAGGGAAGAAAGTGTACCTCTTTCTTCCTGGAAGAGAAAGGAGGTGAAATGATGAGCCTGGGTTAGAGTGGAGAGAAGATGAAGTAAAAGCTGCGCTGGAAGGAGGACACGCCCTCCCTCAAAGAACACGCCCCTACTACTAGGAGATGCCCGGGGCAGGTGCGAGGAGAGGGGCAGACGCGGTAGGAGATGCCCAGAGCAGATGCGAGGAGAGG